CCGAACTGCAGAACTGCAGTCAGCTGAAGTTGCCTGCAGTGCTGCATTTAACCACTGCGCCACCTCGGCTCTAATTAGACCATAAATTCATGAAACTGATTTTTGAAGAAACACTATAAAGTAATGCAATGATTCCATCCAGCAAAGCAACTTTGCATTTCTTTAGGAAGAGGTCCCAAAAATTCTTGATAATTGTGCATCATTTTGAGATCTTGGAAAGGCCGGGCAACATCACAAACTTAGGAAGTTTTGAGAGGAAGTTCTAGTCCAAACTAGGAAACTGGAAGACTTTGGTTTAGTTTTAAACACAGGTACTCCTCGACTTACGACCACAAGTGAGCCCAAAATTTCTGTTGCTAAGTCAGATGTTTGTTGACTGAGTTTTGCCTCATTTTACTACCTTTCTTGCCACAGTTGTTAAGTGAATCAAGGCAGTTGTTCAGTTAATAATACTGTTGTTAAGTGAACCTGGCTTCCCCCTTGACTTTGCTTGTCAGAAGATTGCAAAAAGTGATCACATGACCCTGGGACACTGCAACCATCATAAATATGATTCCATTGCCAAGCACCTGAATTTTAATCAGGTGACCATCGGGATGCCAGAAGGGTTGTAAATGTGAAAAATAGTCATAAGTCACTTTTTTCAGTGCCGTTGTAACTTTGAACAGTCACTAAACTGTTGTAAGTCGAGGACTACTTGTACAAAGTACCATTTAGTTCTCTTCTTCTGTCTCACCTGCCATTTCTTTCTCATCTAAGCCTTGATGTGTTCTATTTGACACTCTTTTTATAAATGACTAGCTGATAACCCAGCGTTACCCAGGTATTTATTTATAGGCAAAAATGTCCTGACCAAATGTAATTTCTAATGTTGGATTTTCCCCCTTACCAGAGGGAGCCCCCTTGTGGAGTAAGTTGTTACCATGGCAACTCCACCGTGCTGTACAGTAGAAGCCAGCATGGCAGTACGGCATAACAGGCTGTATCTTAACAGAACACATACCCTGAGGTGTGTTTTACACCCACAGTATTTTTCTCCAGAGAGTAAGTCATCTGTGTACCAAGTTTATGTGTACATAGAGTATATAGATAATAATTGTCCTTTTGTTACTTTCTTCCCTGTTACAGGAAATTACTGATTGACAGCCCAGCAGCTATTGAAGATGGGTTAAAGAAAACACCACTGTTCCTTTGGTCTCAGACTACAGAAAAGACAGAGCCTCTCAACAAAGCCCATGCTGTCCAGATTTGTTCTAATCCTAATACACAAATATTTGATTTTAATGGCCCGTACATATATTCTTCTATAAAGTCGGTTGCAGATACCATTCATCACGATTTGAAAGTTACTCCTTCAGAACTGAAGGAAACCCCAGTATCTTTGCAGTCTATGGAATTACAGCCTTTGTCTCTTCAGCAACAGCCAGGAGGAGGAAAGGAAAATACTTTATTGTCTAATGTACATCAGCAGGTGGAGGAGAAGCTGTCACTTCCTACAGGACAAGAACCAACTCAAATCCAAGAGACAAGTGGACAGTTGAAGAATGAGAAAACTACAGGGTGTCTTCCCAGCTCAAATAGCCACTGTCAAAATTTGCCACTAGATTACATTGCTGCAGTAGATCTATCAATAAGCAAAGAAAATGGTTGTTTATTGCCATTATCTGAGTTGGCCTCAGAGGAAAGGATGCTTCATTGTGCTAATACAGCAACAGTTTCTACACACATGCCCAAAACTAATGAAAATCTCTCAAATTCAGAGTTATGTCAAAATACATCAAAATCAACCCTCCCAGTTATGGATCAAGGTATTGGTGATCCCTCAGCAAAATGCCAGGAAGAATCTAGTGACTATCTTAAGAGTTTTTCTGCTACCTCAGGTTCTGTGCCAAAGGATGAATTAGGTTTTGCCATGGAGGAATCTAAGCAGGACATTCTTATATTCAGTGTTGGAGGCAGAAGTCCTGTTTTCTTATATCAAGAAGGTGAATACTGTTTCTTTCCTGGCTCTAAGACCAAGGGAGACTGTAAAGGTCAAGATGCACCTATGGGCCATCAGTCTCCAGAAATCTTTCAAAAAGTCACCAAATCCCCTTTGAAGACAAAGTTTGCTGACAGTAAGCTAGAGGTCATCTCCCAGATCTGCCAAGACATTTGAAACATGTTCCTCAATAAAAACTTCCTAAAACTCCATTCTCTTTTGTGCTATGGAAGGATTATTTTTTTACATAATCAGAAGAAAACAAACTGATGTAAAATATATACACCACCAAAGTTGGAGAGAGAAGGAAACTAGGCCTTCTGCCCAAAAGGGAAGGCCATCCAATCAACTGCATAGAAGATTCAGGAGAAAGAAGTGCAAATATGAATTTTTAAGATAGATACAAATATGACAATATGACTTTGCTTTTGATATATAACAGTCACTGGATTTCTTTCATATTATTCTCAACAACACAAACTCTTATTAGAAGGGAAATGCCTGCTGGGAAGAAATAAATAATTATTGTGCATTGAATTTTGTTAATAAAAACTTTACCCTGCAAAAACATGCTTCACTATGGAAAATGTCCTCATTGCATAGGCAATATTTTGGGCACTATTGCATTGTTTTCATACTATATCCCCTTCTACCAATAAAGGTTGGACTTTCTTATGCAGATATCAGTCTGCAGTTGGACTGATTATTTAGGATATCAACCACCCCAGAACTATCCAATCCTTTTTATGATTTTTTCATGAGCAATTAAAAAGAAGTCTATACCTTTGGTATAACATTTTTGCAAAGCTTTCATCTGTTACATGACTAATGAAGAGTCACCGACTTTTAAACTGGTTCCATGAACGGTACATTTGGTTGCCTCTTGAAATTAGCGAAGAGTGATATAATTCTGTACTTTGAAAACTTTATATGCTGATTTGTGTGATCAAGTATCTATAAAGTGTCAGTAGTAAGACAAATAGGCTTCTCTATTCATCTGAACTGAACATATTTGTAGTGTTATCAATATAGAGAAATACATTGAAGGACAGAGACTGCAATGAGATTTATTTCACTGCGAGGGAGAGGCAAATAACTTTCAGCAAGGGCTCATATGCCTCTTTTATGCCTTTTTAGGATCTGCTGCCTTTGTTCTTTTCCCCAAATTTTTGCTCCAAAGCTTTCTGCAGGTTAAGATTGAGGGCATTTTTCTGGAACCATCTCCCTGATGAGATACAAAACAACAACAACAACAACCATCATCATCATAATCATTGTCATCATCACCAAAAGTTATTAGACAAGCTACAAATTCAAGAATTTTCTATTCAATAATTTTTGGATGCTAAGCAAAATTCCTATGCTAATT